GGGGGGCCGGCCCCCCCCCCCGGCCCCTCGGAGCCGGGGGGACTCTGGCCTCGCAACCCCTGCGGTTGCGGCTCTCGGGCGCTCAAAGGCCCACGTGCCCGGAGACAAGAGTCCTTGGAGCCTCTCACCGGCCATGGGCCCGGGGCTTATCGGAGACCTGCCTCTGAAGGGCCCCGAGAAACAGGTTCACAAACAAATCCCAAGGGAATTAAACACTTGATGTGGAGCCGGGAGGGCCTGGGGAACGCCAGTGTCCCACCGCTCCTCCGCCCGCTTGCCCTCTGCTCCTCCACTAGCTCAAGCCCCTTATATAAGCCGTTCGGGAGGGGGACACGGAGGGGGGCCCGGAGAGGCCCCCCGCCGGTACGGCAATGAACACAGGCTGGGCGGTTTTGCGTTTGTACAGCACCTAGCGCAACGGGGTGCAGGGCCACAACCGGGGCTCCAAAATGCTACGTTAATATAAGTAATAACGACTGGGGAGGGGGGTCCTCTCCCTCACCCCGAGGGTCCCCGGCTTCGCTTCTCGCCTCAAGAAACTCTTGATCGTGGTGGTGGTGGTCGTGGTCATCGTGGTGGTGGTGCTGGGCTTCCTCCTCATGGGGCTGCGTTTGTCCGAGAAGCACACGGAGACTGTAAGTGGGGCGTTAAAACACGGGTCCCCTCCCGCCAGGCGCCCGCGCGGGGGGGGGGTCTGCTCGCCCCGAGGGTCCCCGGCTTCGCTTCTCGCCTCAAGAAACTCTTGATCGTGGTGGTGGTGGTCGTGGTCATCGTGGTGGTGGTGCTGGGCTTCCTCCTCATGGGGCTGCGTTTGTCCGAGAAGCACACGGAGACTGTAAGTGGGGCGTTAAAACACGGGTCCCCTCCCGCCAGGCGCCCGCGCGGGGGGGGGGTCTGCTCGGAGCCATGCCTGGTGCGGAGGGGCAATGCGCCAATGCGCCAGAAGCAGATGCCGCCGGGCACAGTGGGTGACCACCGCATGGGGCTGGTGCAGCCACGCCTGGAGCTCAGGCAGCGGGGGAAATGCGCCCGAGCTAAGACGCCGGAGCAGCCGGGAGAAGAGGCTGCTCCAGCGCCTCCGTGGGAGCCGGTGGGGGTGTGGACAAGCAGAGGGAACCCCAGAGGAGGCTGGGCCATTGGAGAACTAGGGTCTGTGGTCAAAGCAATGACCGACCTCAGCAAAATTTCTGGGGTTCCTTGGAACCTCATGAGGTCACTTCACCCCCTGCCCAAAGCAGGACTAACCCCGATTCAACCATCCCAACCAGGGCTTTGTCCAGCCGGGCCTCAGACACCTCCCGTCTCTTTGCCGGCACGGACTCAGCAGGGGCGAAGGGAAACGGCGCATCTTCAGAGGCGCGTCCTCAGGCAGGCCCTGCCTTCCCAAAGCTGCCCCAGTGCCCCGGCGACCCAGGAGGGCTGGGGCAGCTCGGCTCCCCCCCTGCCTGGGAGCACTGGGCGGTAGCGCGGCATCCCCGGCCCTCCATGCGGCCAGGAAGGATTGGGCTAGGTTTGCCAGATGGTTTAACAAAAAATATCAAAACCCCTCCCCCCGCCAAAAAAAAAAAACAACCAACCACCGGGAAAAAATTCTTCTGAGGAAAAAAAAGCAAAATACCGGACTGTCCAGATGAAAACCAGACACCTGGCAACCTTAG